CTATCTCGCCTATTTCTTATTAACTTCCATAGAGTTCTCTATTCTCCTATACTTTCCAGTACCTATTCATTTCTAACTTTCTGTCTTTCCACGGTATTCCTCTGTACAGCACATTTATCTTTATCGAATTTCTAAATTAACCGTTCGCCAGAATAGAAGTGACTTCTTTTTATTGAAAGCGACTCGACCCTGCGCTACCCTACCACTCCTGGCGTCCTGACTTATCTGACTTCCTAGATACCTAAAGTCAGCTTCTTCTAATTTTTCGTCTCCTTTCTTTATATTCGCTCTTCCCTTACTTTATCTTACCTTGTATACCTACTAATATTTTTGTTTTACTTTTATTTATTTTCATACAATACTGTTTTATAAATACCGCTTTCATTTTATTTAAAGGTATCTCTAACTCTTCCTTTCAAGATGCTAGTACTTCTATTATCATTTGCAACTCTAAGCATATCAATCTTTTGTTCCTGTACTGTCTTTAGTGATGTTGATCGCGTCTTCGATGTATACATTAAAAAATAGCGGTGACAGTGTGCATCCCTGTCTAACTTCCTTCCTAATAATTACTTCTCTACGTTGCTGCCTATAAGTGCCTGTTGCTCTTTATACAAACTAAATATCACTCTTCCATCTCTGTAACTTGCTCATACGTTTTTAAATATAAATATGATCATGTTAAAAGCAAGGGATACAATAAGAGCATGCATATAAAACGACATCTAAAAAATTATCAATCATCGTCACCATAAGGTCGTCGGTCCTAAGACTGGTTGGACACGCACCTCCACTTTTTCCTATTTCGAGTCAATCTTGGCATTTCCCAAAACCTATAACATCCCAAATCCTGAAATACGTTTCTGAATGGAATTGAATGAGGTACCAATTATTATAATTTTATTANACCTCTACTTGCCGTGCCTCTACACGTACGAATATTGTACACTGGAAAATTTATTATGAGTTAACTCGACGTTGTCTAATGGCGTGTTCGCATTTACAAAAGATTTCCGAAAATATGTAACAGTTTATCTCGGCTCGGATAATAAATTTTTAATAAAATCAATGAAAAACATTTTATTTTCGTATAAATTGTTGAATTGTAATGAAGAAGACAATCGTGTTGTGAACAATTGAGAAGGTGATGTCCATGACTACAGCATTTGTGATTTACTAGTTGTATTTATTGTAAAAATTAAAGAGGACAATTATCCCTATCTTCTGCTTTACCTTACATGAGTAATTATTTATGGATTATACTTACCTCAAACATTAATACCAATGGAACAAAACTAATAAAATTTAACAGTTGTAGAGATACAAAGTTATTCAGAAACGACATGGTAACGAAATTATTATGTGCCGCGTAGAAATTAAAGACATACGGTTTAGATACATTTTCCCTCCAACAATTCCCAATTATTAAGCCTGTCTAATATTTGTTTTCCATTAGTAAATTGAATCAATCGATAGGTGGATTACAGTTTCAGTTGAAATAGGCGGTAGTTGAAACGAAGCTCTAGAAAATGTACGAAAGTTGAACGTTGGGAACACCGAGAATAGAGTCGACTTAATTACCATCGGCGAACTATTTTCCCTTAAATGGAAACCATTCCGTTAAATTAGCACGATAAATTAATTACTCCACTCTTGTTGTATTGCATCATTAAATTCAGTTCGCAAATGTTTGCATGGAAGTACCTACCAAAATCCGAAACTTTTTGCACAGTTGAATCGAAAATCTCCAATGATGAATCGTACGGTAATTGAAGTGTGAAATATTTATCAAAAAATCTTGTTAATCCGTGATGGTTCATCAATACCTACACCTAATGCATAATAAAACTGTGATTATCGGAAAAATAGAGATACAAGATAAATGACAATGGATCATCATTTTTATCATTTTTGGAAAATTTGTACATTTACATACGATCAAATAAATAAAACATACTATTCAAATTCAGATCGAACTTTAGCTCTTTTTGTTTCAAATTATTCTAAAAACGTTAGGCTTTTATGTTTGCCACGATAGTAAGTCATAAAATGGAAAAAAAATGTGGCTTAAAGTTGAAATAATTTTGGCCAATCAAGAGATTGGTGACTAAATTCGATTCATTGCAATCACCAATTTTATTATTGTCCATTTTTGGTATTATACTGAACTATATTGAACTCGCTATTTTGTTTTGGGGAGGTCTCATTAGAAAGGTTTTGCTATGAACTGGAGTTGCAATAATAAATAAAAAATAAATCTACAAATTAAAGTAAGTAAATAAAAAATTGTAAAATTATTGAGAAGTTGTATTTACGTTATCGACATCCTCTATACCGGGGGAGATAAACGATCGATAGCAAACAGTTCGACAGTCGATTGCAGACTAAATGAATAGGTTAATTTCAAATCTTTCAATTTAAAATGTGTACTAAAAATTTAGCAGATAATTTAAACATGAATTGAAAATTAAACACGTATTATTATATTCAACAACTGACATAACTAACTTCCCAGTAGTGCTCTACTGTCTTCTACTCATTCTGTACGTACTGTACGCGTATGCACTTTTTATTTTTATCCCTCTTACTCACAATAATCTTCAACCGATTGCTTAATTTATTTCATTTCCTATTGAAAAATTTGATAACGAGAGTATTTCATTAAGTCTAGTTCATACTTTTCAATTAAATTCATCGGATCTAGAGTTATAAATATTATTATTTTTGAAAGTTATTATCACAAGAAAAATATCCATTATTGAGATTGGCGGCAGTGAAGATATTTGAAGTTTTTGGTTTCATTTATCTATGTCAAACAGCATTTATCTATAGTTGTTTTTATAAGAAAAATTAATGTCGTTCATACCAGTATTATGCTTGTTCACCCCTATATTGTGTAAAAATCTTAACTAATATTATCAATGCGAATGTGAGTTTGTTTCTTTGTTTTTCGACTTTTCACGCCTTAATTACTCAACCGATCGTCATGAAATTTTGTAGTCACATTGTCAGGGGTACAGAAAAGGGCATAGGGTACCTCTTATCCAGAATGAAAAGTATTGTTTCCGATGTATAGAAAAATTAGTTTTGTGTGGTCTTTGATTTTTGACACGTATTTTAGGGCATCAGCGGTAAAATCTAGTAATTTAATTATTAATAAGTATTCATTTTCTCCCCAACTAGTAATATTAAAAATTATACATTTCTTTAATTATTTGGCTAACCATCAATTTCAAATTGTCAAATTGAGACTTCAAGTTGAAATTGATTATTCCACATTTCGATTTGTAAAAATTCGCTGAGGAAACTCACAACTGTAGGGCGAAACGTTGGAGTTCTGCATTAATAAATATTAGTAAATAAAATAGATAAATAGTTCAAGAAATTTATAATTTTTAAAGCCAACAATCAACCGTAATTTATTTGTTTAGAATTTCATGTAAGGATATATCCTATATATATATGTAAGAAATATGTATTTTCTGGTAAAGATTTGAAAGTTTCTACAGACATTTTCGAGGTATGTACAATTAAAATTTAATTTTTTTAATTTTTTGTTTCTCTGCTGCTTTGATTGCTTTCCGAGGTTCGTCCTTTCGATAAGGCCGGTAGTTTTCCACCTCTACTTGCCGTGCCTCTACACGTACGAATATTGTACACTGGAAAATTTATTATGAGTTAACTCGACGTTGTCTAATGGCGTGTTCGCATTTACAAAAGATTTCCGAAAATATGTAACAGTTTATCTCGGCTCGGATAATAAATTTTTAATAAAATCAATGAAAAACATTTTATTTTCGTATAAATTGTTGAATTGTAATGAAGAAGACAATCGTGTTGTGAACAATTGAGAAGGTGATGTCCATGACTACAGCATTTGTGATTTACTAGTTGTATTTATTGTAAAAATTAAAGAGGACAATTATCCTTCGGTGAGTCATTCAGGCTTGATTATTATTTTCAAAATTTCGTTACCGTTTTTAATTTTGTTTTTTTGCCGTTTTATGAATTTAATTTGTATTGAGATCAAATGGAAAGTTTTTAAAAGGCTTCGTTTTAAATAATAATAATTATTATTTATGTTTAAATGATATATTTATATACTATAACAAAAATATTTTAACGCGTTTTGATTATTATATATTAACAAATCGGAGTTAATTTTTTCTTTGATAATCTGTTTATTTAGATTTGATTATTGTTTTACACTGTTATACTTATGATAGGGAAGAATCGTTCTACAAATCACTTCAATTTTTCATTTCATTAGTATTCGTAGGATGAAAAGTTTAATTATTTGAAAAATTGAAAAGATAAAACCATTTGATGTTTAGCTCTCACAGTACTTTCAAGCCGTGAGAGAGGTATAAAAGAACAGCTGGTTAGTCATCTAGATGGTAATAGGGTTATATCTTGAAGGCTATTGTACTGCCGCTTACGCTGAGTGGCCATAGGTGTAATGCACGGTTCAGGAAGTAGCTGGAAGGATATGCCTAGACGTCGTATATTACTAATCATCCGGCTGGGCCAGGCTAACGCTCATTATCGGTTATTCTTCAGTTGCCTACGACTTTCAGTTACGTTCATGCGTAACATGGAAGGTCGTAGGTGGTTGTGGATTGGTCGATAAATGGGGGGCCCTTGGTTACTGGGATGGTTTTGCTCTTTTTCACAAAAATTTATTTTTAAAATTTAGTATCTATTGTAAAATAAGTATACTTAGTAGTCATAAAATCAAAATTGATAAAAAAAACTATTTTAAGTTTCGCTTTAGTATTTATTTTGAAACACCAATAAGTTATTTTTATAAATAAGTCCACCCTTTTTGTTGATTTTATTTGATTTTCATTTCATTTACAAAAATTTATTTAGTTAATATATAATTTTTTTTATTTGAAAACATTCTAAACAGTAACTTTTCAATGATTTGAACTAAATATGCATTTGAATCTAAAATTCAAATTCTGTTTTTAAAATTATATTATTTGATTTTGTTCCAGGCATTTTTCGTTTTCCTTCTCTATTTTGAGGTGCAAGGGGTCCTATGTTAACTGCTGTCACGACGGTGAGTATTTCAATTTGTCACACTATAATATTTTTCCTGGTGGTTGATTATATCCATCAGAATAAAAAGGACTGAACTTATTATTTTCAATTTTTCTGTAATTTCAAGTACCGAAGTAAAAAATTTAACATTTTTCATACATCATTATCATTCTTCGGGGCGGCGAATAACGTAGTATAGAGGGGAATTTCCAGCGCCAGGGAAGCTCCCACTTCCATTTCTTTCTTTTATTGTAATGTGTAAAAGACCAGAAACAAAATGGGGTTGTAAATAAAAAATTTTGACAAACACAAGTACAGTTAAACTTTTTCCTTGTGTTTACTCGGCACAACGTTGCCATAATATCAGAACAATAACAATATTAGGATTTGTGTGTTTCACCCTTCGTATACGAAAATAAAAAGATAATTCAAAAGGAGCAAAACATAAAAACAGTATTTTTATGTGATAACCTAGATTATAGACTATCGTTATTTAATTAAAACAAACATGAATTTTTACATCAATTACCTACCCAATTTAAACGTTTTCAAGATGTCACGTTGCTGATGTCTTTTAAATGAATGCCCTAGCCTCTGCTAGCCTGCCTGTTACCTTTTAAATTATAAACTTCTTTCGCTACAACAGCAGAACTCGAAGCGTCACGGCACATTGTGTTTTCAAAGTGTCCCAGAACGTTTTGCCAACTGTAATTGATTTAGCGAACACAATTATTTTCTAAAGCGTAGTTTCCACTTTCAACTACCACTCGACTGTCACAATGTTCTTTAAAGTGGGCACCTACAGCCGAAGCAATGATTGACTTCAGTAGCGCGGCAATTAATTTACTTGATGGCACTTTTTGAAAAGAAACAATAATGTTCTATTTATTTATATTTCAAGTAAAAAGCAACTGAGTAAATAATAATCTGTAAGACATTACCTTGTTAAGAAAAATAAGAAATAGGTCAAATGCGAGTCGGACTTGCACATCAATTATTTTTTTGTGATCTAACTACAAATTTACAGTTTTCGAATTTTTCCCTTTACTTGTGTCAGAAAACATTGGTAAAGCATTTTCACGGATAGTAAGTGAACTAATGCTGTCTTGATTCGGGTCTATAAAGGTCGTCGTCTGGTGGAGTTGCTTCCTAACGTTTCACTAGCACGAGTGGTGAGCTTCTTCAGAGGTCCTTCCATTTCTGATGCTGGATGAGAATTGGAGATGGAAGGATCTTTGAAGAAATTCACCACTCGTGCTACCGAAACGTTAGGAGGTAATTCCAACTGATGACGCCCTATAGACTCGAATTAGGACAGCATCACTTCTATAAGACATTATTTCTTGCCAAATTTCATCAAAAAGATCAATAGACAACTTTTTTGTTATTGAAACATATTGTTTCACGCTGCCATGATGAAAAATTGTTGCTATCACACGCATTGAAGTTTTTAGTATATTCTAACCATTGTGATGGTTTCTCCGGGATTTAGAAATCTCTGATAGTTGGAGACAAGCAGCCGACTACCAATACGGCGATTCTTTTATTTTCGTTCAGGTCGTACAGTACTCATTTGTCAAACTTTTCTGAATTACTGGCATTCTGTAGATAACCACGGAAGCGGTTGAAATGCTTACTCTATGTTGTTCTGCATAATCTCTACAATGTGTCTTTTTTCTTCTAATGTCTTCACTGTTGGAAATCTCACATTACTCTTCTTGAAGGCTGGTATTGCTAGAACGAAATTTTTGATAGCGGTGTTACACTGTTGCCTTCTTGACACATACATTGACCCGCAAGTGTAGTATGGTTTTATTTTTGAAGAAATAATTTCGTTCTTCGTCTTATTACGGTGTTTCTAGCTAAGATCAGAGAAAACCAACATTCATCCAAACAAAATATCTAAGATTGTATTCGGATGGGGTTAGCCTTGTAAAGCCTCGTAGCAGGCAATATCCTGCTGCTAACTATTAATAGTGCAGAATAAAGTGGCACCACCAAAACTAAATAGCGGCGCTATTTGTTATTGAGATTAAGAACGCATAAACGTTTAATTTGCGTTTGAATTTTGTATTGCACTTACATCTACTGTACACTTTAACGTACCATATGGACTATGTACATCGAACCCATTTGTTCGAAACTATCTTAACCTATCTTGGAAAACTTGCAAACTGCCTTTTAATTATGTGAGCTGTCTCTGAATTATATGAGCTTTCTTTGCATTATGTGAGCTGTCTGTCTTCATCATCATCATAAAGTCGTCAGTCCTAAGACTGGTTGGACACGTACCTCCACTCTTTCCTATCCTGAGATAAACTTCGCAAAACTAGAACAGCTCACATCCTTAACTATTTGCGAACAGTAATCTAATGTAGGTCTACCTCTACCCCTCCTAACTCCTGTTTCTGCCTCTAATATGTCTCTGACTAGACCTTCATGCCTGAGAAGGTGTCCTACCAACCTATCTCGTCTATTTTTTATTGACTTCCATAGAGTCCTCTGTTCTCCTATTCTTTCCAATACCTCTTCATTTCTGACCTTTTCTACCCACGATATCCTCATCATCCGCCTATAACACCACATTTCGAACGTTTCTAACCTTTTCTTTTCCGCCGCGCCCACTGTCCATGTTTCGCACCCGTACAATGCCGTGCTCCAAACATACACCTTTAACAACCTCTTTCGAATTTTTAAATTAACCGTTCGCGAGCAAAGAAGTGACTTCTTTTTATTAAAGGCGACATGACCCTGCGCTATTCTCTGCTTTATATCCTTACTGATCCTGACTTCCTAGATAGCTAAAATTGGTTATTTCTTCTAATTTTTCGTCTCCTATCTTTATATTCGCTCTTTCCCTACTTTTTCTTCCCTTGCATACCAGTATTTTAGTTTTACTTTTATTTATTTTCATACAGTCTGTCTTAGAAACGAAAATATGCTACTAAAATTAACTTGAATGTGTAAAAAAAGGGGTAGAGTGTAGGAGTCCTTTCCTAAATATTATGAATGCCAAGCTTCACTAGTCATTAGAAATTGGGGTGGCTCTGGTAGACAAAATAATTTAAGATTTCGCCATCTGATCCATTGCCAAGCAAAAGTTTCAACATTTATGGGGCAATAAAATTAAACGCTTTGAGTCCTTGATGGACCTGCACATCAAATACGTGACTTTATGACAGCCTTCTTGCTGTCAGCCGTGACCAATTTATACATTTAATTTTGAGATTTATTACTGTGCCGTCCATAACCCTATTTTTACGCATAAGTACAAAAGAAACCCTTCTCGAAATCGAAATAAAATTTTGATTCTGAAGGAAACTATTATTTGAGAAAAAAGAGATATTTAAAGAAACTGAATATTGAGTGAAACGAATTGATATAATATTTTTTTTTTAGTTTCATATTTAGTATGATTGTCAACATTAGTTGTCCAGGCTACATTATAATGGTATATATAAAAATATGCTAACGCAAGCCCTAATAACGACTCTGTACTGGGAAACTGCAATTTTGCACGATTAACATTTAAGTTTTCTTTATTGTTCTTTGAATGCAAATCTTTAGATTTGTTACCAACGCGTCTTACCATTCAGACGTGCGAACCTACATCCTTTTTACTCTGTAACATTTAACGCTTATATCGGGTATTTTAATGTACAAGTAAATAAAACGTGAACTCACTAACAAATTTGGTAACCTTTCTCAGTTCCCACAACGTTTTTTAGAAATAAATACATTTTTAAAAACAACCTCCCGGAGGACTTAAAACAAAACTCATTTAAGCCGCTTTAATTAGTAATCCAAAATTTTTATAATTTTTTTTATTCTGGTTTATTTTTGGTTAACTTTATTGTACACCGACCTGTATAAATTATTCAGTGCTGTAACGAGTATTAAACTTTATTCCTAAGACATGGTTTATAGAAGGAATCTTCATAACGTGGGTTAATGGTGTATAAAATTAAATTATCCTGGTTTTGTTATTTTTATTTCGCTTCGCATTTACTATTTAAGCCGTAAGTTATTGCAACGACTTTATTAAACCACTCGCCCCTTTATTGCGTCTACGGTTGTATAATGCTGGTCCTGAGCGTCCTATCTAATCATATTTTGTTTCATTAAGCTTGAAAATTTAAAGGAAAAGCTTAATCCGATTAGAAGTAGGTGGTAGGTAGGTAGGTAGGTAGGTAGGTGGACCTGAAGAAGGAGTAAGTAAGCAGAACTATGCCGCAGTTTGCGAGGTAGAAGACAATTAATCAGGTCTACAGGATTAATAAAGTCTTTCGCATCAGACACGAAGAGGAATGAATTGTTGTTCCGGAGTATGCTGGTGTCATATATTATACAACCTGTTCTTGATTACCTAATTGATGATTCCGCCCCGGTGAAAGACGAAAATGATAACTGCAGAGCGGTAGAAATGGATTTTCCGATCCAAATCCTTAATTTCGATTTGATGGTAAAAGCATCTTCAATGTTATTAATCTGGATTATTGAGAGTGAAATATAATCAACCAAGTTGCGTCCCGGCCCTTTTGTGTGAAGTATGCTGTATGTATACTACACTTTATTAATCTAAATGTAAACAGTCTGTAATATACCTGCCTAGTTGCACTTACATAGTAAATTGAGCAAGTCTGTTGTGCCACCTGATTGAAAATCGGTAATTGTATTGACAATTTTTTACGATGAATCTAAACGTTACGTTCAAAATTGTATCCATTTATCACATAGCAAATTTCAAGGACTTTTTGAAGAATTTAAAATACGTTTTTAATACAGAATTAAAAAGAACCTATTTTTAAGCCTTTGAAAACATTTTTCTTATGTTAGTTTGATAAATTTTAAATACAACTTCAAAGTATTTAAGATTGTTCTTGACCATTTCACTGCAAGAAAACTAATAGTTTCTGATTTTAAGAACTACAGTGACGTGACAACGTCTTATAATTCGATGGAGCCGGCTGCACGCACGAAAAAACATGACTCATGCGGCGTTACCTCGCTCTGAGGCGT